ATACCCCACCTATTAAATTTAATATAAACTTGAGAATCGAATACAGAATCGAAGAGAATCGTTAGGATCCTTAAATAAAAGTTAATTAAAATAATTTGAATTAACTTTATAATAATATAATATTTCATATAATCTTATAACAAGTAGTTTATTGAATCTAATGGATTAAACAGTTTAATTAATAATGGAATTTCTATTTTTTATATAAATTTTATTTGATATATAGTTATTTAATATAAGTTTGTATAATTAAATATATTGCAGTTATAAATTAAATAAATAATTAATTAAAATAATTAATAAATAACAATATATCTTACTATTAAAGTAAAATGTTTAATGTAATAACAATTGATCTATGTTAATAAAATATCTCAAATCTAATGCTTTTATAACTTAAAAAATCAAACTATTTTTTTACTTTTTAAATAATAAAAATCTAAATGTAAATATAATATAAATTATTGATTTTTCTTTATTATGTATTCATATATAATATTTTAAAATAAATGGTATATACTGTATGTGATATACTAAATATATTGTTTAAAAATATTATTACTATAAACAAGATAAACTTTTTTATATAAATAGATTTTTTTTCTGTTAATTTAGTACATATAAAAATATTTCTTAATATCTTAAGTAAATTTTGTATTAACGAGGATATGAGGATTGAGCTTTATTTTTTGATTCAGAAATTCAAGGATAACAGTTCATGAATTATTATCGCCTTCAATCGACATCTTTGTTCTCACAAAATCCGTCTTCATTTTTTTTGATGTTCTCTTCTGTTCTTATCTTTTTGGATGGCACATTCTCTTCATCATTATCAACAATTTCCTCATCATCTTCCTCTGATTCTGAAAATGAATGGATGCAAGTACCCAGTGGTGGCTGATCGGGTAGCCTCTTAAATGCATATTTATATACTTTAAAGCCCGCCAATCCCGTTTCTTCCCACCATCTTTCTACTTTGTACAGGCCGTCATAGCGATAACTGTTGAAAAATTAAGTGTAATTTATCTATATAATCGAGAAAACAAGACGACAAATTTGAATAATGTCATTACCCTTCTTTTGGAGCATATTGATTAGCTAGTTTGTAGCCGCTATGGCAAAATTTACAGTAAGTTCGAGCATGACTAACGCAAATAATATATTGGCAATTGGACATACCGAATGACGCGTACGGGCTTCCCGTTTTCACAAGACAACTTCAGCGCAAGATTACCACCACTTAATTCCTGATCCTTCGACTATAGGAAGAAAAAAAATTTTTTCATCCCAAGTTAGAAGCTCATACATGTCAACTAATAAATTCATAATATAATTTATGATTACCTGAGGAGCTGTCCGAAGATTTTTAGGATTTGCTCTCGTTCCCTTAAGGTCTCGACCTCCAGAGCCTGTGTACGTAAATGCTTCACCTTTTAAACATGCAAAAATTAGATAAATAGAGAATTACATATATTTTATGATATATAAGCTGTCCTAATATTTACCCCAATCAACATCATCTTCATATCCCTAAGTGATAATTGGTAGATTAAAGTATATTTATGCATAAAATGAATTTGGAAAAACCAAGCAGCCTACCCCAGATAATGCGACACTAATCGCACCCTCAGTCTCAATGAAGGCGATTCCAGCCACCGTGGGACTATTTTCATGCGTATAAATAAAATTCACGTTTTTTTAAACATAAAACGTGAAAACTGCAAAAAAGAGTTACTCACGCATGGACCCCAGCGTGACAGCATTCCATACGTGTGGCCCACCACGCACCAACTTCAATTCCTGGAATATGTCCGAAATTTTTTGGATCCGGCCGCTTTTCCCTCCACCTCGGATCACGTACATAAACACCAGTTGCGGCTTTATCATCGTCGTCGCCAAGACATGAATCCTCTCTATAAGATATGGGCTATATAATATGATAAAAGTTATGTATCGTGCTCATAATCTCCTCTAATTAAGAAAGAATATGAAATCGTACCTGATTTTTAATTCTCCTAGATCTTCTCAACCCTCCTGTGAAGGAACTACCCTCAATGTTCGCTCGGGGCAAGTTGGATATTTCAATTCTCCTTATTTTTTTTGTCGCTATTTTTCTCTTAGTCTTACGGAGAACATTATTAAAGGGTTGAATTGGTTGCGGTGGTCTCTCCAGACCAAGTTCACGCAAAATGCGCTTATTACTTTCAATGTTTTCAAGACGTTGTCTTTCGTAATCGTTCATATCAATGTCGAAAGAAAACGCGTTATAGCAACAAAATGATCGACAAGATTAAACAATTTGTGAAAAATTGTTATACGCGTTTTGTACAAACATGTAATCACGCGGACATAAAGTCTGCTATCACGTGTAATTATTTGTTAATATTACATCAAATACATGTGTGCAGCCATTAATCTAAATGAACTTGTTCTTTTTAGCGTTAATAAATTTCTTTTTTTTTTTTAAATAAAAATAAAAAATCAAAAATAAATAAATATAAAATGAGATTATTAAAGAATTAAATATATTATATTATATAATAATTTAAATTGATTTTTATTTTTTATTATTTAACAAGATATGGTTAATCCAGATGCGGATTGGCTTTTTGTATTGTCGTACTATTTACCGAGGGTCACGTCAGTATTTTAAAGTCACATGCCTGTCACCAAACTTGCTTTGTTGAATATATTTTATATATTTTGATGATTCGAAATATCGGAAAAAGTTATACTAGATAAGAAAGCGTCTAATATGTCTACTACGGAAGCCAAACTTCGTCAACTTAGAATAATTGACCTTAAGGAGCTTTTGGTTAAGAAAGGATTACCAGTTTCTGGAAAAAAGGAAGAATTGATTGCTAGGATTTTAGCAACTGAAGATAAAAAACCGGAAGATGCCGCAAATCAAAATCAAAATATAGAAAACATAGACAATAACGATACTACTTCAACGACTCTTAAAACAGAAACAAAAAATGGCAGTTCAGACTCGTATGAAGCCCCTGTCGTATTAGACGAAGACTGGTATAAATTCACTACCGAGTAAGTTTTTCGTAATGGAAAATTTGCTAATGTTTTGATCTAAAAATTCTTTCTTTCGCTTATTTATTACAGAGACATTGCAAATCTATCTAAAGATCCTGAATTTGAAAATCTTACTTTTCCTACTTCGCCCTCACAATCTATTGCCTCAAACAAAGAGTTCATACCTGATAAAGGAAAACCAGAGGTTTCTAAAGAGAGATCTATAAAACACGAAGACCGAAAGAATGACACCTCTAAACCTCCTGAAAATGATAAGAAATCCGATATTCTTGTTAAACCGTCCGGTTTCACTTGTAAAAAAATTGTATTTGACGATGAACCTACGACACCAGTTACCAAATCTCAGTCTGACTTGTCAGCTGAATTAGAGAGAAGGAAGAAACGCGCTGAGCGTTTTGGAATTCAATTATCTGATGCGGACAAAAAACTCCAGAGAGCAGCGCGATTTGGAATCGAAACTTCAATTCCGATTGATTCTCCACTCAAAGGTAATTATTAATCAAGTTGTTGATTATGGTTAATTAATATTCAATTTACTCACGCATATTGCACCTTGATTAGCTCCATTGCCTGCGCCGCCTAGAAAATTTGTAAATATTTCGTGATCTTGTCTCTCTAAATCTTCATGAATCAACATTGATCTTGAATTTTGTTGCAACTATTAGTCTGTTGATGATGAGGAGAAATTACGAAAAAGAGCTGAAAAATTTGGTCTTGATAATTCACAGACGAAAACCACAAACCTTGCAAATGAGGAGGAAGAAAAGAAAAGAAAGAGAGCTGAGAAATTTGAAACAGGGGTAAACTTTAGTAGCAATTTTCAAATGTGACTTAATAACATTTTTGTTACAAGCTTATTCAACTTTTTATCCTCTTTGCTAT